AGGTAGAGATCCCAAGAGTGTTTATATATATTGTATCTGTGTGTGTGTGTGTGTGTGTGTGTGTGTGTGTGTGTATAAATAAGTCCATTGAATGAAATGCCTAACAATATAATGAATCTTGTATGGCTGCACAATTTACAATACATAATCAAACCATAAGTTGTCAGTGATCTTGGATGAGGTTACCTTATATTTAATGATGTTATTAAGTAGGATTACGAGTATGGATCTTGATGGAAACAGTGTAACAACACTCTCACAGATGCAGTCAGACTGAGAAATACATTGATGGACAGACAGACAAACAGACAGACAGATACACACACACACACACACAAATGTTTTAAATCATAAGTTTTGTGTGTTTGTAGTCATTGCATTTTTTCTTTCATTTAGATTTTCATCTCATCCACATTGTACTATGTGTGTTTTATTATTTCGTCTTTTCTTATGCAACTATTTCCCCTCTGCTAATCCATGAGGGAAACGATGGAATTAGTTTGTAAAGCATGATAATAATGCATGGCCATAATAACTTGGCTCAAGAGGATTAACAAATGTGCATTGTCTGAAGAAGCAGTCTCTTGGGTGATCAGTTGGTTGCCTCCCTAAACAGTGGTTGCCTCTGCCAATTAAAAATTCTGTCTAGTCTGCCTCTTCAAATGATTAATTCTGCCCATGCTGTCGATGGCCTGCCAATTATTGTTGCCCAATTGGTATTAAAGGGTAGAGGATTTCCTGATGTTGAATTTATCAGAGACTAAGAAAACTTCCCCTTTTACTGTAGCTATAATTAGCTTCCACTCATAGCACATACAGAACACACACATTTATACACGTATGTGTAGGCTTATATGCATGCAAGGCTTTATTTCTATTTTCTTCATGTGTTGCTTTTTTCATTTTTTTCATATTGACATTTGTTTTTGAAAAAAGTAGATATGCACTCAGAGCCATACTGAATTTGCTTCAGTGTATAATTTTGTACAGATAATATCCTATGAGTATGGGTCAAGCAGTAACATGCACTCAAACAAGAGAGAATGAGAAGAAAGTAAATGTCTTTTTTGCAGGAATGATTCAGCACAGCAAAAACACAGACAGACAAAACCATCCCTATGCTGCTCCAATCTCCCTGCCAAAGCAGTGCAGGTATCAGTATTAAACTAGTGTCAGGTATCATTGTGTTAATGCATTTAGAAATGAACCGGGGAAATTGCCGTAAACTCCAGCCCGGTAGACGCACATTAAATCACAAAATAATTTAATGAAATATTTATTCAAGTTTTTATTTTTATTCTTCCCCTGAGTCAGTCTGAGGGATAGTGCTCCTCTGTGGGTTGTCCTTCCAAT